AAAAGAACCCCACCACCCCAAACAAAAAAGGAAAATAGGGCACCTGCCCATAATCCAATTTTCATCCCATTTGAAACCTTTGACCCCAATCCAATCTTTTCCCCACATTCTTCTTGTTCTTCGTCTTCTCTATCCACCAACTGCGACAAACCACCCTCTTCTTCTGCCCTCCCTGGAACTCTCTGTTCCAAAAGAAATGAATCTCAATTACATCCTCAAAACCTCAAGTTCCCCACCCCCAATCTACTCTATTGTCTCGTACTCCCTCCAACACTTCGCCGGCTCATCAAGATACAACTGCAGAGGTAAAAAGCTAGCTCCTTTACAGCTGAAGGTTCTGTTCGCTTCTGTTTCAATTCTGTGGCTCTGAGCTGCATCTCTGTTGGTCTCGGAAGTGGCGAGTTTAGGGAGTTGTTCCCGTCTTTTGAGGTACCCGATTTGGATGTTTTGTTAGGTTAAACGAAAGGAAATGTGGATGAAAGTGAGGGAATTACAGTGATGAAAGCTCTCTTGTGAAGTCTCTTCTAATTGGGTGTTGAGATTTGGATTTCATCACTCTTTTCCCCTTCCCTTCCTTTCTTTTCATCCGATTCTATTCATTGGATTTTCTGTGGATTTCTTATTGTTGGGAATTTTCGGTGAGAGTGAAGCGACTGCGCTATATGTAGTTCGTTTCTTATACTTCTTTCAATTTGCTTTCCTTGATAGTTAGGGAATAACGAACTTGTCCACTATGATAACTGAAAATGCTCTGGAAATTAGGATCGAGTTCACACAGGTCTTTGGTGTCGTAGATTTTCTGCCATGCCGAAGGTTAGAACACAGCATTGCATGATTTTGACTAATCAGAGGAGATTTTTGGCAAGGCAGTTCAGAAGTGCCAGCCTGTACTCTTGGTGCTAGTGTATTAGATAAAGGCAGACTGGTTTAGCAGTAAACTGGTGGTTTGATCAGTGAGACTAATGTTGGCGTATGATGTTACATGCTGCTCATTGTGAATTGCAAACATAGTTCAACTTGATTACTTCTTCCACCCATAGAGTAATCTAATAGTACTTTTTTTTGGATTACTCTTCTTAGTTTGGCAAAATCGACTTTAAATCTACTAGTACTCAATATCCGTTTGCTTTGTGTATTCGTGTATGCTTGCTCGCTTTCCTGTCTCCATACACAAGGACATGCCTTCGTGATTTCATATATGTGGTTGATATGGTTGGGGTGGTGGGTTTTCAGGACATTTGTATTGATCTAAGGACTTCCTTTCGAGCATAAATGAAATTGAATATTTTGTGTTCGGGGCATCTGAATCAATGAAGAAGATTTTCGAAGTGCTTGAAGCTAATAATATCAGGGTAGGATACTCCGAGTCAAATGGTAACTTCGTTAATGCAACTTGGGTTGTTTTAGGTAATTGTATTTTAAGGCATATATATGTCAGTTAGGAACCCATTTTTGCTGAAATGTCTGCAAGAAACTTTCTTAAGGCCAATCTGAATGTACAGAGAATTCATCAGTAGTTTGGGAAGCTTTCAATCTTCTTTGTTGCAGTATAGGACTGCACTTCTTTGTATTGGTAAATCCTTCCTTCCCTATTCAGCTCTTATGCATTCCGCCCCACTCACCAAGGGGCAAAAGATGATGATGTATCTTAAAGTGGTGGTGAATTAATTGAGTTTTGTATGATATGTGTGCTTGATACTATTTTGCTTGTTAAAACATTTAATACGATTGCTCAGAATTCTACCATTTTGAGAATTAACTGATTTTGATGGGGAATTAATTGATTTTGATGTTCTCAGGGTTGTGATTTTTGCCTGTTGGAGGTTGCGGATGCTTGTGTTGTGCATGATTAGGCAGGTTGTGAGACAAAGGAATCTGCTGTGGACGGGCATGATAAAAGAGCTATTCAAAACAATGTGTTGGTCTTAATTTCTTGGCAGAACCAGAAGATACAAACCAAGCAATGGATTTTTCATCTTTCTTCAAGATCGTTCTTCAATGTGAAATTGATGATAAGAAGCTAGTAAGCAAGCAACCTGTCTGTGTTTTCTTCATGCATTTGCTGGAGTTCTGTTTGGTTAAATCTGCATATTTCTGTCTATATGAACTCACTTTCGCATAATTTTTCATAACCATTTGCGTAATAACTCGCAACTTCTGTCGCTAGACTTTGCGAGGCAACATGGGATGAGCTTTCAAGTTTTGAAACTTTCATCGATGCAGATGGGCGAACATGGGAGATGGCAATTTAAAGGAGAATGAGGGATTGGATGAAGATGTTTAGCAACTTTCACTGCTTACTACTCAATCCGCCATGCTTACGTTTTGGTGTTCAGTATAAAGGGAGCTCCAATTTCCACGTCCAGATCTATGATACAACCAGCTGTGAAATCGATTATCCAATTAGTGATCCTACAAGGAGGCTGACTCGACTCTACTGTCACCCTAGGAATTGGCCAAGTGCAACCACTCCCTAAAGCGTAGTATAGCGGGTTTAGGTTTATATGTCAACCCGGGTCCTAGATTTGCTGACTACTCAGTGAGTTCGTGTTATCTAGCAATGAAACTGGGATGCAAGTCTAAACTATCAAACTAACAAAGCAAGTAAACTGTTGTATTCAGGTTAAAGAGGTCACCCGGATATGGTTCCCCCTAGACTGCAGTTAAGCCGGATTGTAATTACCAAGTTCAGTTTCTATGACAGTTATACTGCGGAAGGTTCTCAAACAGCCTGAAGTCTCGACTAAAGGTCTTCAGACCCTCTCAATCTGACTCTCTAGCGGGCGACTAACCTCCACCGGAGTCGACAGATTGAGGCCCTAAGAACAAAACCTCCACTACCGGAGTAAATCCGGTACAGAATAGTGAGTTGGCTCCTCGACTAAAGTCACCAACTCCCTACCTTCAATCAAGGATACTCTATTAACCTAGGCAGATATTCTCATTCTAGGTTAAAGCAGAAACAACAGGAATTTGATCAGGATTCAAGTCATTCAATCATTAAAACCTCAATCGAATATAATCAATCACAGAATCAGTACTTGGGTTCATACAATCAAAGCCTAACATACAAATCTAGGGTTCTCCATACCCAGATGAATGGGAGAACTACTCCATGGAGAAGAAAGCAAAAGCAGAATCAGACACGGAATTCATACTGCAAAGGATGGATTCCTGCTTCTGGACGTTGATTGGCACTTCTCCAAGCTCAAGCTGGCCTCCAATGGTGTTGAAGATCAATCTAGGGCACTTGGGAACTCTTGTTCGTCACTTTCTCTCTCTAGGAACTGATCTCTCTCTCAAAAACTCCAATCCCCTCGACTTGTGGCTGAAAATCTGCTTAAAAGCAGAAAATCCCGACTCGCACGGGCAGGGTGCACGGCCGTGCACATCACCATTCTGGCCGTGCACCTCAAAACGCGGCGTATCAATTAGTTGAACCTCAGCCAACTCGCACGGCCAAACTGGTCACTTGCACGGCCGTGCGTGGCCACGCACAATCCCGTGCGTGCCCACGCACAATCCCGCACGGCCAAACTGGTCACTTGCACGGCCGTGCGTGGCCACGCACAATCCCGTGCGTGCCCACGCACGATCCCGCACGGCCAAACTGGTCACTTGCACGGCCGTGCGGGTTGTGGGTGTGCCCGTGCGACTTCCTCAGAACCTCGCCATGCGTCCGATCCTCGTCCAATCGACCCCAGACTCGCTCCTAAGCCTTCATTCACGTCCTAGGACCTGAAATATCACAAACAAGCACAACCTACCGTGAAATCGGCCTAAAACACGAGAATCAACACCTCAAACGGTGTAAGAATGGGGGTAAAAACATGTGTAAATGACGGTCTATCAGAGGCCAAGATACCATAATGCTCCAGACCAAGATCGGATCTTTTTTTACCCACTACCCCTTCAAATTTGCTTCTTTCTTGTAAAAATGACACAAAGCATGAGACAAAGGAATCCGATGTGGACTTTGATCTTACCATTTAACCATTTTGATTTTCATAGATCTTTGTTCTACAACATCACATGGGACTTCTACTGTTGGAGACAAAGGAATCTAGGGAAGAATATGCACAAATAACAAATGCTGATGGGGCTTCTACAATCATGCAAAAACGTGAACAAGCAGCTCATGCATCTGCCTTGGCAGAAGAAAATAAGAGATGCGACCAAAGCATTGAACTGAGTAGAGATGGGAAACAAACTCCACTTCAATTCAGTGGCGGCATACGCAAAGCAGAATTGGCGGCACATGCAAAGCACTGAGCTGAGTAGAGATGCCACCGCATAATGGCCAGATATGTGGGTTGTATAAATCTAACATTCACCTTACAAAAAAAAAAGATCTGTAGAATGGTCATAAATGCAATGTATCACATATAAATCGCAATAAGTGAAAATGTAATTTATAATTTGTCAATCTGCCAAATTTAAGAAAATTATGTAATATTCAATGCAATGAACTGTCTCTAAACGATACCATAAACAAGTTGAAAATCTAGGATAAAACGAAATGAATGATGAAAATCTAGAGCACACTAGGTATCTCATAATCCCTTGATTGCCTTCTTATTGCTTGCTTCTTTGTAATCAAGTATCTGAGCTTTAAACCTCGGTGCATTTGCAATTGCTTTCTTGAGGACTTTGTGCCTTATGTAATTTGTGGGCTCTTTGACAAGGTACAGAGCCACCTGCATTCTCCTCCTATCACCACAAGGCTATATGAACAACAAATATAATGTATTAGTAAACTTTTTTTTGGGTAATGATGACCAGGATTATAATAACCACATAGAAAAGAAAATTACAAGAATCAAAACAAACAAGAAACAAAATAATATAGGGGGGAGGGAAACGAACAGAATAAATAGGGAGATGGAAACCAAGGAACCCCAAGACCAAGACCAGTGAAAAAGAAGAAAAAGACAACCACAATTGACCACACCCAGGAAGCAGCCACATGATGGCATAGATACAGCAAAAATACAGACAACTTAAAGAAGTGAGGGAACAAGCTTGTCCCCATCAGGTTGCATCAAAATCCTGCCATTTTGCATTCATACCATTGGAAATAACAATCTTCTATTGATATTCGAAAGCCAGAACTCAGCAGTTAACCGTGTCAACCTTTCTCTCACTCACCAACCAGCAGGACACCCTCAAATATTCTTGAGTTCAAAGTATTAGTAAACTTTGTTCTACATACACATTTTTGTAATGGACCATGCTAAGAGGTCGTCTAGGAGGAATGTGAGTTCTTACTCAAATGCCATAGTGAGAATCCCAGGTTGCACCCATCATCGAGACACACACCCAAATCCCACTACCATTCCTATGTAAGAAGATACATTATGTAAGCAACATATAATTTATTTTTATATTCAAATTATGCTCCAAAAAAACACACATTCATACTTGTGATGTTGTTCTGCAAGTGAAGGAGTTGACCAAGAAAACTCCTTGATCTTTGGTGGTGCACATATGGTTTCCACTTCCTTATGCAAAGCCTTGAACAAGTCGTCCACAAATTCAATCTGCAAAAGTTACGAACAAGTTTAGTGAAATAGGTAATTTAGTTGGCAAATATAATCTTTGGTTTTAGTCGAAAATTCTAAAGATACCATTGTTTCCACCACACTCATACAAACTGTTTTCCGCTCCTGTGATGGCAGCGAATCCAGGATTTGGACTTGTTTCTCGTCCAGTAAAATAATAGCTAAAAACCACTGGATTCCTCCATCATCCATCGTATCTTGCACTGGCAGACACACCTACGCATAGACCAGAAAATTACACAATCAGATTAATAATTTGAGGACACGGTTCATGAAATCCGTAAAAAAAATATGTTCACAAATCGTTACTAAATAAGTAAACATGATAATATGGGTGGCGTGAGAAGTCATAACCTTTCTGAAGTTAAGAGCTTTTGAAAGGAATTTGGTATGGAATGTCTCTAATGCAATTCTAGGTGTCATGCCATAATTCATGACCAGATCCTGTCCGTAAAAAACAAATTACAGAATCCAACATTGAGCTTGCTTAATAAAGTAACCACTTATACTTAACAGAAATAGAATGACAAGGTAAAATCGATATATACCTGAAATTTTGCAGGCAGAAAGCACACGCATTTTCTACGACTAGCATCCCTCCAATGTTCGTCAAGGGTCAAGTGGCAAGCTAATGCTGTAATTACCTAATGCGCCACAAAATATAAACACTATAGTTCAAAAAGTGAAACAAATTACCAATTAGTAGCATCATAGGAAAACTTACACCAGCATTGACACATGACTCAGGGCATAAGCTCCACAATGTCTTACGGCTATAAACCTCCGTCATAGTTTGGACCAAAAGCTCGTCAGGTGGAAGATCTTCAGCAAAGATATAGTGAACCAGCTTCACTTCCTCCTCACTGTAGCTTACGGTTTGAGGGAGCTTAAACCTTGTGGTACCCTACAATGATGGGCAACAAACAAATACAATTAATAATTAATCATGTTCTTTTCTTCATCGACAGCTTCAATGGGATACTAGTTTTGGCCGGCTAATCTAAAGTGGCTGGGTTTACTTGGATGCTGATTTGGAACCCATAAAGCTATAAAATAAACACAAAGAGAAAATCACAAATCTAAAGTGGTCAGCTTTTATTTTGAAAATGAAAAAAATTAATGAAAGAACAATGTCAACTGCTCGGCTTGAACTTTGGATTACCATACCTTCGTTGACAATTTTTGTGCCGAAAAATTGGCGTTTCCCACACCTTTCTCGTAATGGTCGACTCCAGATTCACCATCAAGAACAATCACATTCAAGCCCGGCGTCATCGGTGGGGTGGGGGGGGGGGGGGTCACATCATCTCCCCTTTTAGTTTTCTTCACGGGCGATACATAGTTCTCCAAAGCCTTTGATGTAGAACGCGTTAGCCGTGTAGTCGATTGGCCGCGAGACATATTGTTGGCCATATTGATCTCTTCCCTAGTATAATTGTACAAAAAATTAACATGTTGATAAGGAGAACAATACACCAAAATCACATAACCAAAATTCAAAGAAAATTCAAAGAGGATTGAAACCCTATACCCTTCCTTCCCCATGATGTTATAGACGCAGATGGCTTGTGCTAACTATCAAATGCAACAAGGGGTTGTGGTTTAGTTAAGTGGCGAGGAAGAGGGGTTGTGCTGTCTTTCAAATGACACTGAGGATTGTGGTTTAATATCCGAGACATAGGGGTTTTTAACCTCGTCAATTAGGAATAACGTAGTAGCATAGAAGTTAATTGTGCCAAGTCTTTCTTTTTTTGTGGGATAATTGTGCCAAGTCTTACTCTAACTCAGAGAACTTCTATAATATCCCCTCATTAAATCCCTAGAGTCGTATGGAAATCAATACTAGGCTAATTTGCGGAGAAGAGGAACGTGACAAAATATGCCATTCGTGGACATGTACAGTTTAAGTAGGAGTTGTAGGAATTAAACACAGTTAATTAATCGTCCACCAACTTCCTTCTAGGCTTCTAGCTAACTAACGGTGGTTGTAGAGATTTTAATTTATTATTAAACTGTATATTCACTTTTCTTAATTTAATATTCCATCCGTGAAAACAACAAGGCTCTCGATCCAGCCCAAGGTGTCATTTTGTTTCTATGGACAGCCCATGGAGTCTCGTGATAGCATGTTCCTATACAGAAGAACCAATTTGGCTGCGTAAAATTAAGAAACTGCCCCAACGGAGATTAGTTGTGAGTTGCGACACTTGTTAGCTGCAATTTCCTGAGTTTCACAAATCGTCTCACGAACATGACAGAGGAGGAATATTATCCTAACGATGTTAGTGATGCTTATAATCCTCACACCGATGTCAGGAATAGCATCGATGCTTCTAATCCTAACACCGAGGACATGGCAGCGGCGGGAACTCATCCAAACGGGGATACTAGTTCAAATTTAGAGGAAGATGATTTTGCCAATCTACTACTTCTACAGATAGAAGATATTATGAAACTCTAATTCAAAGATCTAGACGAAGCATATGATTTCTGGAGGGACTACGGGCTGGCCACTGGGTTTGACGTAAGAAAAGAAGAAATTGGTCGAGATAAGGATCATGTTTCGATATGGCGCTGGTTTGTATGTTCTTGTGAGGGAAGGAGGCGTACAAAACAGACAACACGAAAAAGAGAGCCAAGAGGGGAGACAAGGTTTGACTGCAATGCTAGGATGCGTGTTCGATATGACAAGTCTACTTCGGATTGGTTTGTGGACACTTTTGATAACATACACTCTCATGCACTGATTCCTAGAGAATACAAGCACTACATGAAAGGGAATCTTCGTATGAGTGATGCAATTAAAGCTGCAATTAATTTTTGAAGAGGTGTAGGCATGAAAACACATCAAATCGTTTCACTAGCCATTGCAGAAGCTGGAGGCTATCAGAAGGTGGGGTTCGCGAGGAAGGATGCATATAATTATGTGGACAAAGAACGAAAAGAATAGATTCGTGAAGGTGATGCTGCTACAGCCCTAGCCTACCTACAAGCAAAACTTAGTGTCGACCAACAGTTCATCATTGAACTAAAGAAAGATGGTGAAGATAGGCTTATTAACTTGTTCTGGGAAGATTCTATTTCGGTGGCTGATTATGCATGTTTTGGAGAATTACTGGCATTTGATGCAACTTACAAAAGGAACATTTACAAGATGCCTCTAGTCATTTTTTCAGGTAATAATCCTTTCATTCTTTTCGTAATATAGTAACCTCCTTTGGATTTTAGAAGTGTAATACATAAGGGGTTTAGATGTCTTGTTGGATGTTCAAAACATCACCATTTGTCTTATTAGTTTCCTTATATTCAATTGTTTTACTTTTAGGTGTGAACTATCATTCGAACACTTGCATATTTGGATGTGCTTTTCTAGCTAATGAGAAAGAAGAAAATTATGTATGGGTTTTGGATGCTTTGAAGAGGAGGGTGGGGGGCGGTGTAGCTCCTAAGACTGTTATTACAGATGGGGATAAATCTACGCGCAATGCAATTCAACAAATATTCCCTGATGCAATACATCGTCAATGTTCTTGGCACATAGACAAAATTATTATCAGTAGATTGAAGAAATTTCCTATTTTTGTTACCCGATGGCAGTATTTTGTTTCAGCTGACTTGGAACCATAAGGATTTGAAGCTAAGTGGAAATCGTTGGTTGAAGAGTGCTCACTGCAGCACAACAATTGGGTTTCCAATCTATTTAACCAAAGAATTGAATGGGCGTATACATACTTGTGCTCTAAGTTCTTTGCAGGTTTGGCAACAACATCTAGATGTGAAGGAATGAACTCCCAGCTTACCAATTATATCCAAAATGATAACAATCTACTTGAGTTTTTTTTTATTAATTTTGATAGTTGGAGTAGAGATATGAGGGAGATTGAGCTACACGCTGATTTTGAATCCATTCATCGTGAACAGACCATTACGTCCAATGTCCTAGTATCACTTTAGAAGAGTGCCTCTGCGTTATTCACAAAGAAGGCATTTTTCGTATTTAGAGATGAGGTTGAAAAGTCTGGAAATTTTATAAGGATGGATTCAGAGGTATCGCCAAATGAGCGCACTTACATGATGACAATGTCTGGCAAAGAGAAGGTTTTCAGGGTCAAATACAAAACTGACCCATTTTCCATGGAGTGTAGTTGTAATTATTACAACTATATGGGGATACCATTCTGTCATATGGTTTTTCTACTAAAAGAATAGGGGATACTAGAACTTCCAAAAGGCCTGGTACGGTTAAGGTGGTCAAAGAAACCGAAGACACTAGAAAGCTTACAACAACAAGATAATATCGACGAGGGTCGACTTTTCACATTCAGGTTTGTGATTATTCAATAAAAAGCTCTAGTTGTCATATATTTTGCATTAACTAAACTATACTGACTTTCAGGTATGGGATTATTCAACAAGCCAGCTTACAATTATGCTTAAAAGGAGCAAAATCTAGTGATTGCTTCAAATTTTCTCTTGAAGGAATTTCATCATTATGTGAATCGCTAGACATGATGCACATTGGTAATACTGAGATACCAGACATTCATAGACCGAATGCAAAAGAGAAGTTGTTGGATCCATTGCCGGTGAAACATAAAGGTTCAGGAGGTCAACAAAACAAGAAGAAGAAGAAAGGAGAGCAAAGACAGTGTAGTAGATGTGGGGAATGGGCTCATTATGTATCCACTTGTACACACCCTCCTGGGTATGTAAGGCCGACTACTACAGAGTCAACCCCGCAAACTGAGGAAGAAGCCAATAACAATGGCAATCAAAACGGAGAGGATGGTGATGCCCTAGAAATCCAAAACCAGACAGAAACATTAACTAAGGCGAGACAAAAACATTGCAGAAGATGCGGTTCAACACAACATAATAGAAGAACTAGCCCGGAGTCATCAGAGGAGGATAGTGATGAGGATATTGGTACTACTGACATTGACGACCAACAAAGGGTAATATTTAGAGTTCCTTCTCCATGCCTACCTAATATTGTTGCATCCATATTTTTTTCGTGCTAACTTTAGTGTATTCAATGTTGTAGAAGAAGCCACGTACGAGAAGTGATCAACAAAGGAGCAATTGGCTATTTGAGTTATTCGACTGGATATTATGAGTTATTGGTCTGGTTAGGATGTTAGGGTTTTTTATTGGGTATTTTTGGGAACTTTTTTGGGTAGTTTTTGGTACTTTAAGATCATGGATATTCTGGTTTTAGAACAGTATTTAGATCATTATGCAACTTAAACTCTAAAAAAAGTTGCTACTAAAGCAACCTTGAGAGACTACTAAGCAGGCAAGTTAAATATGTTATCATTATCAGCTCACCTGGGAACCAACGGTATACTTATGGTTACAATTCGATGCTGCCAAAAGCGTTTGAGAGCAGGATGCATGTTACGAGGTTTGCAAAATAGAGAAAAACAATATAAGTAGTTGAAGGATACAAACTGACAGTATGCTCAAAGAAAGATAAAGTTAGCAAGTCCAAAACTTGCCTTAAGGTCATTTTCCATTTTCTCGTTGCAAGTATTTTCCATTTTATCCTTGCTTATTTTTTGGATGTTGCCACTGCCCCAATGTACTTTGTCCCTCCAATCATTACGGAACATTGGATGTTGGTACAGTTTTTCAACCTGTATACAAGATAGTATTTGTATTATACCAACACTTTACCAAAACTAATGATGACACAACACAAGAATCAAATGTATCTGACAAGATAAACATGCTACTCATCCATTCAAAGAAGTATAAGAGGTAAGAAAATTGCTACAACACAGAATCCGACGTTCACCTCACACAACCATGATTGCAAGCAAAATCAACAATTTTATTACAAACCAGGAGAGCAATAGTACTATTCATTATACTAGTAGTTCGTTCCTTATTTCCTTGATAAGATAATTATCGATAGAGTTACTGTCTCGAGAACCCACTTAGCTAATCACTTGAAGCTGGCAGGAGGTGCTGGAATGGAGGTATGCAAGGCTTGAACTGGAAAAAGAAGGGAAGTAGAGAGAAACCAAAGAGAGCATATATAAAGATATCCATATAAAAATAAACACCCCATCACTATGTATTCTCATGTACAAATGTGGGCATAACTTCAGATCCCCCTTTCAATGTATCGAGAGAGCAGAGAGGGGAGATAGAACGGACAAATTATGTTCATTGTGAGAAAATCTTTGGTGGGAAAATCATTTTATTTTTGTGAGAATGGGATGGAAAAATCCAAAACAAATAAAGGGCGGGATAGTTTGGGGGAATGAGAATTATGTTCATTGGTTCTTTATTTATTTTTTTCAAATTCTAAACCCATGTCCTCTATTTAAGTATATAGAAAATTGTTTAAAGTTACCGCTCATATAAACGAGGTTCTCTTTTCGCATAAGTTCATT